CCGTGTCTTGGGAGCCGGAGAGACTGTCCTCGGCTCCACGCATGGGCAGGGCAGCTGATGATCTAACGAAGAACTATGCATGCAGGATCAACCGCCTGATTCCAGCTGATGATCACACTCGATCTGATGCCCATGCCTCATTCCCTGTGCCCACATGCTCTGCTTTCTATGCTCATGCCCTGTCTCATGCAGAATTCTCTCTGCGCCGTTCTTTACACCTCTTTACTGTGTCCCTGTACAACGGAGGAAATACTCATAAACACGGGCAGCTGATTATAAAACCATGCCTGACTCCAGCTGATGACCACACCCAACCGATCTGATGCCCATGCTCCACTCCCTGTCCGCTCGTTGTACTGTTCTCCATGCCCCATGCACGACGCTCGATCCACACTTCCCTCTGCACCGCTCTGCACACCTCTTTGCTGTGTGATTCTGTCAAGCCGAGGAATGATTTCTTTTCATGGGCAGCTGATGATCTTAAGGATTAACTATGCATGCAGGATCAACCACCTGACTCCAGCTGATGATTAATGTCGATCTGATGCCCATGCACCATTCCATATGGCCCATCTCGTATTCTTCATGCGTAATGCTCTGCTCTCTATTCACAGTCCTCTTTTCTGCATGATCGTACGGATTGAGATAAACAGCTTCTGTTTCTTCTCGGGCAGCTGACGAATTCAACTTAATAATGCATGCAGGATCAACCGCCTGACCCAGCTGATGACCTAGTCTCCGCTGATGCCCATTTTCCCAGGGTTCCCTTCCTGCGTTTTCTTTCCTACTTTCCACGCCTTATGCACTGCACGTACCCACTATGTATGATAATACTCAACACTCTTTGCCTCACTCCATTCTCTCGTGCTTGCTGCGAGTCCTGGGAGGCTGAAGAGCTTCTTTTTTCTTCCTATGCACGCACATGGGCAGCTGATGATTCTGACTATGCATGCAGGATCAACCGCCTGACTCCAGCTGATGATTACACACCGATCTGATGCCCATGCTCGCTCTTCTTAACTCCATGCCCCATGTGTTCCATTCCCTCGGCTCCCTTTCACATGATCCGTCTGTCCTTGTTTGCACCTCATTGTGTTGTAAGCCTTTCCAGCAGAGGGGTTGCCTCTGGTCAAGGGCAGCTGATGATATTACGAATAACTATGCATGCAGGATCAACCAACTGATTCCAGCTGATGATAATACCTTCTCTGATGCCTGTGAAAACATTCCCTGTGCCCACTTGCTCTCTGCTCCTTTCCCCATGTTCCATGAACAAATGCTCCGTGCACAATGCTCTGTGCTGCATTGTTGTTGTTCCTCTTTGCTTTGTTATCTTGTTGATTGTTGTGATTATTTTCTTACCATGGGCAGCTGATGATTCTAAGAATAACTATGCATGCAGGATCAACCGCCTGATTCAACCTGATGATTTCACTCGACCTGATGCCCATGCTCCCTTCTCAACGCCTCATGCCATGTGCCATCAGACCCTCAATTCACAATCCGTTCCCCATCATCAAGGCCACATGCCATGATCCATCATCCCACTTCTACAGTCTACTGCACGTCACTCACATGCCCCCCCCCTCCCCCCCACATGCCGTCTCTACTCATCCCCCTCGCATCCCCAGCCTCTCCTCCAATTCCACTCTCATCACCCATTGCCTCTCTAGCCGCAGTTGTTCTCATCACTGCCCATCGTCTCCCACATCCGCCCCTGTGCGTCCCCCAGGTGTCCAAGGAGCACTTCCCCGCGGTGGCCATTGGCTACAAGGACCCACGCGTCAATGTCACAGTGGGCGACGGTGAGTTCTGCTGGCGACAGCTGTGTGCAGTGCATGCATGCTGCAGCAGTGTGCGTGTGCGTACGTGTGTGGGCATGCTGTGAAGAAACTAGGTGCCATGGCATGGCATGGTATGCTCAGTACGGCCAGTGGGTACAAAGAAGTACCCGCGCGCCAACGTAACTGGGGGTGCTGTGAGTGAGCCTCCATCACACCTGCATGCATGCTGCAGGGCATTGGTGTTCACATTGTGTGTGTGTGTGTGTGTGTGTGTGTGTGTGTGTGTGTGTGTGTGTGTGTGTGTGTGTGGATGTGTGTGTGTCAGCGCGCATCAATGTGAGCATCAGTGTGTATATTTCATCTCCTCTCGACACAGTTCGCCTCGTCGCCCACCCACACATCGAATCAACCCTATCTTATCTCACCCTCGCTTGCCACCACACGTCTCATCCGCAACCCCTAATGCTCCCTTTGCCTCCCTCGCCCGTGGCCACCATTTCTCCCCCACACACGTCCACAATATCCTGTCCATCCAATGAATTCCCCACTCTCATGTCCCTTTCCCCTCTCCCCACCCTCCCTCCACCGCGTGTGCAACCCAGGAGTGGCGTTCCTCAAGGCGGTGCCAGAGGGCACGTACGACGCCATCATCGTCGACTCCTCCGATCCCATCGGTACGCCACTGCACCGCCCTGCTCCTGCTCTCACACTCTTCACTCCTCTGGGTGTATTTCGACTCGTTCTCGGTCGACTCAAAACACCATGCCGATCCACAGTCCGAAATTTCTGAACGCTCCTATCCCCTCCTCCCCCAACCCCCCTCCCCGTCCCGTCTCCCCTGAATCAATCCCACAGGGCCCGCACAGCAGCTGTTTGGGCTGCCCTTCTTTGAGTCGATGGCACCAGACAAGTTTTCCTCAAACGCTACCCCCCTTCTCCACCCCTTATTCCCCCCTTCCCCCTGTCACCCCCCCTTTCAACCAATCCCACAGGGCCCGCGCAGCAGCTGTTCGAGCGGCCCTTCTTCGAGTCGATGGCGCGCGCGCTGCGACCGGGCGGCGTGGTGTGCACGCAGGCGGAGTCGCTGTGGCTGCATCTGCCCATCATCAAGGACATTGCCCTCGCCTGCCACCACGCCTTCAAGGGCTCCGTCAACTACGCCTGGACCAGCGTCCCCACCTACCCCAGGTCTGATGCGCTTGTATGCTTAGTGCTTCTTGCTTGGGTGGCTGTGGTTGGGATGACCGGTTTGAAACTTGGGGATGGGGAGGGGTTGTTGTTAGATGAGGGTTCCACTTGACCTGCATGTTTTTCACCTATTAATTTATTTTCATTTGTTTTCATTTGTCTTTACTGAGTTGGTCCTTCTGTTCATGCGTTCTGGTTGCATGCAGTGGCACAATCGGCTTCATGGTGTGCTCGACCCCGGGGCCAGAGGTGAACTTCAAGGTGCCATGCAACAAGATTGAGGACCAGCCTGAACGACCTGACAACCTGCCCAAGTTGCCGCCTCTAAAGTACTACAACTCTCAAGTAAGTGCTCTTGTTATGGAATACAACCTGTGCTTGGTTTTCTTGCTCTGTTGCTTTAGGTCCATCTGCACACTACCAATATCATGGAGCTATTAAGGACATGATTGATATTGTTTCCTCATCCTATTCTTGCAGGTCCATTCTGCTGCCTTCGTTCTCCCGCAGTTCGCCAAGGAGGCTCTTGAGCCCCACCTCACTAAGTAATGCTAGAAATACACTCCAAATAAATATTAGTTGTGAAATATTTCAGAATGACTGTTGAATAAAAATTGTTGAAGTATGTAGCCTTTCATGGCTCAAGCGAGTATCAACTGCCCGTCTTCGTTTGCGTCTCGTCTTCGTCTTCATCGTGTTCTTCGACGGACGGCCTTGTTGATCCTCAGTCAATCCGACTGACTGATGGCAACGCGCAAAAAAATCTACAAGCAGGACCCACCAACAAAAGACGACCACATGCACCACATTCCACCGTGGCATCAATGCCTTGGGAGCTCCGAGCGCGTTGCAAAAGTGACGGAGGGAGGGAGAGGAGGCGCGCCAGTTCTGCCTGCGAAAAGGCTAACTGAAAACAGAACCAGAGAACGCGAGGCCAACAGAAAGCTTCATTCACAAACGAAACCAGAAAAGCAGTTAGTTGCAGGCTAAAGCAGCACGGAGCTGCGACAGCGCGCGGCAGCCAGCAGCAAGAGTATCTTACCCCACACCCAAATCCCCGCCAGAATTCTCGCAGGCATTCTGCTCCAACGAATCTCCAACCCTCGTAGTTTGTGAGAGGTAGATATCTAAGCACAACCTCGCTTCAACCCTTCAGATTTAACTCTCTATTTCCGTGTCCTTCACCATGGTTGTGTTTTGAACAAGATATGGAAAATGGAGCGACAGACGGTTCAGACGACGACCCCTCACGGCACGTACATGCCTACAGTAGCGCGCAGCAACAGCAACAGCGAGGAGCGTCGTTCAAAGCTGCTGCTCTCGACGGTCCCTCCACGCTCGCGTCTTTTCCCGCCGTCGTCGGCGCGACATCCGTCTCCGGTGCGTCGTCAGAGTGGCGTAACGCGCATCACAAGCCGTCGTTTGAGTCCGCGAGAAAATAAGGCTTTAACTGGAATGGGGCTGCTTGGTCTTGCGCTGCTCTAGTGAGTCCACTCCAGTGACGTGGCGCGGCCTCGCCAGTGCAGCGTTCTCCGCAGCACTGGACTCGTTACCTGACGTCTTGTCGTCGTGTCCGCGTCTGAGTCGTTCCGTCGACCCTGTTAGGGCGGGACGACGTTCCCTTCTCATCGTTTCGCCGTGTTGTCGTCGCGTCGGCCGATCCTCAATACCGCCGCGCCTGGAATTCAAGAAAACTTCACGAAGCCTGTCGAGGTGTCGAGACGCGCTGCACGCACCTTTAGCAAGCGACGTGCTGAGGAGAAATGCTAATCGCGGCATGTCGACAGAAGGGATCTCTTCGCGCGCCAATGCATGCGTGACATTCTCTAAAAGCTGCTCCAATGCGCTCACAATCACGTAACTCGCTCAGCCATGAGCCACAATGCCTTAGTTACGTGGTAACCCTCGTTTAGCCATGTGTCAGCGAGTCCGCGAGTGAGGCAGGCGCGATTGCTGTCTCGGATCCGCGCTTTCCTTCCCTGCTGCTGCTGCAGGATTGTTAGTAGGCGTTTGATCTGCGCTTCGCCAATGCTAACCATCTGGATCCGCGGGTTTCCTGCTGTTATTCGATGCTGTTCCGCATTCATGCGATCTCTCTTCCCTCGTGTCGTCCGGCTCCTCGTTCTCTCTTCTTTCGGCACGTGCTCTTTTTTCCTTTCCCCCTGCTCTCGTTTCCTTCCCCCCTGCTCTCTTTTCCTTCCCCCCTGCTCTCTTTTCCTTCCCCCCTGCTCTCTTTTCCTTCCCCCCTGCTCTCCTTTCCTTCCCCCCTGCTCTCTTTTCCTTCTCCCCTGCTCTCTTTTCCTTCCCCCTGCTCTCTTTTCCTTCCCCCCTGCTCTCTTTTTCCTTCCCCCCTGCTCTCTTTTCCTTCCCCCCTGCTCTCTTTTCCTTCCCCCCTGCTCTCTTTTCCTTCTCCCCTGCTCTCGTCTCCTGCCTGACTCGTGTGCGCAGTCCACGTAAGGGAGAGCACCTGTCACGCTCACACGCAGGACTAAGAAAATCCTCTCGTCACCTTTCTCTCGCCTCTCGTCTCGGTTCTCTCTCTTCTCGTCACCTTTCTCTCGCCTCTTGTCTCGGTTCTCTCTCTTCTCGTCACCTTTCTCTCGCCTCTCGTCTCGGTTCTCTCTCTTCTCGTCGCCTGTCTCTTGTGCGCAGGCGCAGTAAGTGCGGGCACCTTCCACACGCACACGCAGGAGCTGTCGCCCTTTGCTCTCCAACAGCTGCAGCAACAGCTGTACCAGCAGCAGCACGATCAGCAGCAGCAGCAGCAGCAGCAGCAGCAGCTGCAGTTGCAGTTGCAGCAGCAACGACATCAACAGCAACAGCAGCAGCAACATGAGCAGCGAGTGCAGGCACAGGATCCAGTCGCATCACAAGCAGATGGTTTCAGATCAGCACGGCCACCCAATGTAGGCTCTGTAGGCCTCTCCTCACCACAAGCCAGGGCGGAGGGGGAACGCTGTGTGGTAAATTCTCTGGGGGGAGAGTGTGTGGGCGCGGGAGTGGATCCAGCACCTGCATCTGCTGCTCAGGGCGGGTCGTCCCCACCCACACCACCACCACCGGGCATTGCGGCACCAGCTCCTGCTGCTCCTGCTCTCACCGCCTCTCTTGCCAACACGCCCCATGCAACTCCTCCTGCTGCTGTGGCGCCCGGAGGAGCAGCAGCTGCTGCTGCTGCTGGGGTTGGCAATGGTGAATGGGGAGTGCCGCCCACCTCCGGTGCGCATCAGCATATGGTAGCACAAGGAACGGTGCAGCAAGGAGCAGTGCTGCACCAAGCGGTGCAGAACGGTTCCCCTCGAAATCCTTCTTGTAGCGAGCCGTCTTTTGCTGCAGATCCTTCCTCTGTGTCGCTTGCTGCTGCTCCGTCTGCCACCTGTGTTTCTCCCCCACCGGATTTCGTTGTTGCGTCTGCTCTGTATGCCACTCAGCTGACTGCCCCCACTTGCTCACCTGTTTCAAGCCCTGCTGCAAAACCTGCTACGTGTCCCGTTACAAGTCCAGTATCAAATCCTGTTACAAGCCCCGTTTCAAATCGTGTTTCAAGCCCCGTTTCAAATCCTGTTACAAGCCCCGTTAGAAATCCTGCAACGAAGCTAGTCACAAGTAGGGTCGCGCCAGGTCATGTGGGGGCAGCAAGCACGGGCCAGCAGCAGGGCGCACTGATCGGGGGTGCTGCCTCCGCCCAGCTCATGGCCTCTCTCACTGCAGCACCAGCGGTGGGACCAGGAGCTGTGGCGAGTACAGGAACAAAATTGTCGCCAGCGAGAGCAGTAGGCGCAGGGGCAGCAGGCAGCAGCGCGCAGCACCCTGCAGTTGCAGCAGTAGGCGCAGGAGGAGGGGGAGGCGGAGGAGGTGCAGCGGAGAGTGCATCACAGTTGTCAGAAGCACTTGCGGCCGCAGCAGCAGGGGGTGGCGCGGGGACAGGGGGAGCAGCGGGGGCGCAGCTGTCAGCAGCGCTGGCAGCAGCGGGGGGCAGCAGCGCGCAGCTGTCGGCTGCACTGGCGGGCCTCACGGGGACTGGCAGAGGCGCCGCCTCCAATGAACCCCGACTCAGGGACGTGCTCAGTGACCCCCTCACGTGAGTGCTCACTGCTGCTGTTGCATGTGAGTGCAATGACCCCCTCACGTGAGTGCAGCGACCCACTCATGCGAATGCTCAGTCCTACTGTTGCATGTGAGTGCATGAGGGGCACAGTGTGACTCCGTTACTCTGTTATGTCGCGCAGAGTGCTTGAAATGAAGCGTTTTCCGGTTTCGCCAGCACACATACCTTTATGGCTTCTGAACGGTCCATGTGTCTTTGTTGGGCGTTGGTGACTGTCTGCTGCGTTTACCTTGCTTTTCAAAGGTTGCAGCTTGGAAGTTGCATACAAGCTGCCTGTATCTGATGGCACCAATTGTCGGACCTGTCTTTGTGTGGCATGTGTGTGTGTGCGCGTGCGTGTGTGTGTGTGTGTGTGTGTGTGTGTGTGTGTGTGTGTGTGTGTGTGCGTGTGTGTGTGTGTGTGCGCGTGTGTGTGTGTGTGTGTGTTCGTGTGTGTGTGTGTGTGTGTGTGTTCGTGTGTGTGTGTGCGTATGTGTGTGTGCATCCGTGTGTATCTGCATGTGCACACAGGGGTCGATTGCTTGATGACGCCGTGGTGGGGTGCTGCGGCCATTCCTTCGGAGGGGCAACGCTGGCCGTTGTGCGCGAATCAGTGAGCACCCACCCCCCTTCCAACTCCACCTTCCAATTTCTCACTCCACTCCGCTCCACAATCATTTTCCAACCACACTGCACCCACTCGCATGTGTGCCATGCCTCAGGCGTTGCTGCACCCAATACGAGCTGGTTTTTGAGAATTCTCAAAAACCAGCTCGTCTTCCCCGTTGGACCGTTCACATGGCTCCTCTCCTCGCCACTACCTCCTCACGTTCCACCCTCCGCCTGCCATCACGGATTCTCTGCGTCATCACACCTCTTGCTGCCTTTCGTCCCCAAACTGCTCCTGCCTTCTTGCCTATGATCCCCTACTCCCCCTCGTGACTTGTCCTCCCCAGAGCACGTGTCCCGAGTGTGGCGCACACATAGACGCCGCCACGCTCACCCCCAACCTCACCCTGCGTGCCGCCGTCGCTGCCTTCCGCCGCGAGTCCAGCTCCCTCGCTGCCGCCGCCATGGCTGCTGCCGCTGCCGCTGCCGCCCAGGTGAGTTGCCTGGTGAAATGAGATAAGTGGATCTGTTGTGAGGCATGTCCACGACTCGAGTGTGGCATGGCAGTGAGCTTGTTCCCTCACAGTTCCATCTGCTCTCTCTCACGCCTCCCTGCTTTCCCCCACTGTTCCTCCTCCCCTCTTCCACCCCGCCAATTCAACCCGTCCCCCAGCTATCCGCGGACACGCCCACCCACGCGCACCACCACGCGTCCTCAGCCTCACAGCACTCCCCTTCACTCTCCTTCGCCGTCGCCGCTGCCGCCGCCGCAGCCACAGCAGCCGGCTCTCCACCAGCAGTGCCCATGGGGGGCCGAGGAGGGGCATCCCTCCTCGCCTCCTTCGCCGCTTCCGCCTCTCCCACTGCCTCCAAGCCCGCTGCCCCGCTCCAAACCCTCCCTGGTCCGGCCCGAACCAGCTACGCTGCGCCAGGCTCGGTCACCGCCGCCAGCCTCCGAGCCTCAGCCGAGGCTCCCCAGCCGGGCACACAGCAGCCCGCCCATCCTGCACCTGTCCGGCCGGTCCGGTCGTCCAGCACGGCCCAGTTCCCATTCCGAGTGAACGACGTGGTGCTGATAAAGGGCAACAAGCGCACACCGGAGCACTTCATCGGGCGCAAGGCCATCATCACGACGCAGTGCCTCAACGGGTGGTACATGGTGCGCACTCTCGATGGCGCTGCTGACGAGGTGCGCCTGCAGTACCGGTCCCTGGAGAAGATCCATGCTGCTGCCGCTGCTGGGGGAGGAGGGGCAGGGGGGAGTGGAGGGGGTGGAGGAGCGGATGGGGTTGGTGCTGGTGGGGTTGCGGGGGGGGGGAGTGTGGTGACAGGTGGGGGAGGAGGAGTGGGGGCGGGGGGAGAGGAGGGGTGGGTGGAGGCGAGGGGGAGAGTCATCGGCTGCTGCCGCCAGCTGGGGTGCCCAAGGGGCGAGGGGGAGGGCATGGTGGAGCGCGCAGGGAGACCAAATCCAGTGAGTGCTGCTCTGCTCTGCTCTGTGTGCATTGGAGGTTTCGCTAGTCTGGGGCGGCTGATGTGGCTGAGTGTGGCCATGCTTGCGAAACTTGCTGAATCCTTCTGCACCGCACCTAGCCCTGGCTGTAGCAGCTTCCTTGGTGAAATCTTTGTCACCACGTACCTCATTTGCTTAACGTGCTGCTCGCTTCATACAAGTATACCTGCCCCCACACCCCTGCCTTCCCCCCTGCCTCTATCGAACCCCACCTTCCCCCTTTTCTCAAACCCATCCACCTGTTTTAAAGAACCTTTCATCCCACTCCCACAACACCCCCCCCCCGGTCCCCTACCTACCCACCTCTTTCCGCCACGCCCCTTCCAACTCTCCTCTTCCTCCCGCCCTGTCTGTGTCCCTGCCTGCCAACTCTCCACCTGGTCGCCCCCTTCTCGCGGCAGTGGGGCGGGGCAGGGGAGGCCGGGGGGCGGGGAGGGCGGCAACAAATGCATCGCCCATCAGCACGCCAGCGTCACTCTGCGGCAGTCTCTCCACGCCCAACGCGTCCCTCTGGACCGGTGCGTCGCTCCCCCACCCCTCCCCCCTGCCCTGCCCTGCCTCGCACCTCCTGTCTTGCTCCCCTCTCTTCCTCGCTCCTCTATGCCCGCCTCTGCGGCAGCCTCTCCATGCCCAGCGCCTCCTTCTGGACCAGTGCGTCGCTCTCCTCCTCCACTCGTCCCCTGCCTGTGTTGCTCCCCCTCTTCTGCCTCTTCCTCTTGCCTGTCTACCTTGTGCCTCCTGTTCTCCCCCTACTCTCTCCCCTCCCCAACCCCCCGGCTACTCCTGTGTTTGCTCGCTCTGCTCTGCCCCGTGCCTGGGTTCTTCTCTTCGTGATTCTCTCTGACATTTGGCCACGCAGTCCCTCCTCATCAGTCTTGCAATCCATGCCTTGTGAACTGATGATCGTCTTCCCTACACACGCCAACTCAACCAGCACTCTCCCTCACTAACATTTCGAATGGGCTAAAAGCTTGAAGTTCTCTTTCCCCCCAAGCTTCCTCAACGTTCCTCATGCCGCCCTCCTCCTGCACATCTCAACTTCTCCTCTCCCACACTGCCCCATCCCTCAGGTTCGGTGGCAGGTTCGGCAGCAGCATCGGATGCAGCAGGGGGAGCATCACGGTCAGTGTCAGTGTCGGGGGACTTTGGCATGTGCAGCGGGCCGGCAGGGGAGGTGGAGCAGGGCGCCATGTCCACCACTCCCAGAAGCGGCACCTCCCATGTCACCCGCATGTCCCATGCCGCCCCCATGCCCCATGCCTCATGTGCCCCACATGCATGGTCCTGGTGGTGCTATGGTTGTGAATACACCGCACACTAGCATGTCAACGCCCCATCACGCCATGCCGTCTGCCCACCACAGCTCATCAACGGCTCCACAGAGCACGGTGGTTTATCCGACGGCCAGCAGCGCGCCCACCACGCGGCATCCATTGGTCATGCTGCCATGCCCGTGCCTGCTAGCCCAGGTTCGGCCGTGCCTGCCAGTCCAGGTCCGGCCGTAGCAGCAAGCCCAGGCTCGGTGGGGCGAGTGCAGCGAGGGCTGGGTGTGCAGGCGAGCCCAGGCTCGGCAACTTCCGGCCCTTGTTCCAGACAGGCCGGGGGTATGCGGCGGAGAGAACCGATCCTGGAGGAGGTTCGGTAGCGGCAGGGGCGGCAGGTGTAGCAGGAGGCAGAGGTGGGGGGTCCGGTGTAATGGGCGAGGGGACAGGTCTTACGGGCTCAGCTCAGGCACGGGATTCGGTGCACCGAAGGCGGTGAGCTCATCAGCGGTCGAATCCTTGACAGTGGGCGCAGCGGAGCAGGTGGTGGTGTGGCAGCAGGGACGGGGGGGAAGCAGGGCAGGGGCATTCCCTAGCAATGGGCGGTCAGAGGCCAACTGAAGGGGTTCTGAGGAGTGAAGTGTATGGGCAGCAAGTGGGTGTGCAGACTACAGGGCAGTGTATGGTGCAGCAGCCCTAGGTCAGCACAGTCAATTGGGGCAGCAGGGACAGATGGGGTCAACAGGGTCAAGTGGGTCAACAGGGTCAAATGGGGTCAACAGTGTCAAATGGGTCAACAGGGTCAGATGGGTCAACAGGGTCAGATGGGTCAACAGGGTCAGGGGTCAAATGTCTCAGCATATCCTTCAAGAGCAGAGCCAAC